GTTGTAGGAGCAGATGAAAGAAGGAGTGCTCTTATTATAAAGGAAGAGAAGAGAAGAGGGAGGGAGGGAGGGAGGGAGGGAGGGAGGGAGGGAGGGAGGGAGGGAGGGAGGGAGGGAGGGAGAGGGAGAGATATCTCAATGGTTAGGAGTGCTGACTGCCCTTGCAGAGGCCCCAAGTTCAGTTCCCAGCTTTCACACTGGGTAGCTCATAGCCACCTGAAACTCCAGATCCAGGCGATCTAATGCCCTATCCTGGTTCTCCGTGGGCACCTGAACTTTTGAGCACATACCCACACACCACATAATTTAAATTGTTTTTTCTTCTTGCTTTCTTTTTGAGGCTGGGTCTCTGTGTAGCCCTGGCTGTCTTAGAACTGCTCTGTAGACCAGGTTGGCCTCAAATTCACAGAGATCTGCCTGCCTCTTACCCCCCCCCCACCAAGTGCTGGGATTAAAGGCGTGCACCACCTCTGCGCAGCCCAATTTAAAATATTTCTATAAGAGTTTTTAAAAATTATTTTTAGAGAAAAAAGGAAGCCAGAAATGACAAGAAAAGAAAGAACCAGCTTATAAAGTTCACCAGTGTGGTCGACAAAGTGATCAGTCCCCAAGATGAAACACAGCACAAATGGAAAAGGAACCGGCATCCCAAGGAGGAAGCAAGAAAAAGGTCACTTCCTCTTAGTCAGGGCTTTCTCGTGGCTTCACAATTCGGTGGAAATGCCCACAATTTGGGAAATGAGACACCCTCAGAAGAGAAACAATTGAATGCTGAGTTTCACAGTAAGATGTACTTGCAAATTAACCTTTACAAATTCAAATATGGAAAGGCTTTCTCTCTTCTGTTGAGCATTGGATGTTCGTGTACCAGACTTCTTTCGTCTCATTATTATTGATGAAATCCTTGTTTTGTTTTCTTTTGGTGTTTTTGAGATAGGGCTTCATTGTGTAGCTCTGGTTATCCTGGAACTAGCTCTCTGTAGACCAGGCTGGCCTCAAACTCACAGAGATCTGTGGAATATTCCTTTACACCATGTGACTATATGTTGCTGTGATTGGTTTAATAAACAAACTGGCCAATAGATGAACAGGATAAACATAGGCAGGAAAGTCAAACTGAAAATGATGGGAAGAAGAAAAGTGAAATCAAAAGAGTGGCCAGGAGACACAGAGGGAGCAAGACATACTGGAGGACTGGTAAAGCCAAGAGCCACGTGGCAATACACAGAGTAATAGAAATGGGTTAATTTAAATTGTAAGAGCTAGTTAGTAATCAGCCTGAGCTATCAGCTGAGCATTTATAATTTATATTAACTCTCCTGTGATTATTTGGGAGTGACTTCTGGGACACAGAAAAACTCCATCTACAGAGATCCATGTGCCTTTGTTTCTTTTTTTTTTCTTTTTGTTGGCCTTCGTATCTTGAGTGCTGGGATTAAAGTTGTGCACCAACACCATCCTGCTATTCATGAATTATTTTTATAAATCATGTTTATATACATACAAAATACATCCATATATACAAAATTTATACTGACCATATATTTTCTAAGCTTTTTTTTTTTGGTTTTACGAGACAAGGTTTCTCTGTATTGTTTTTGAGGCTGTCGGTCCAGCCTGGCCTCGAACTCACAGAGATCCACCTGCCTCTGCCTCCCGAGTGCTGGGATTAAAGGTGTGTGCCACCACCGCCCGGCATGACCATATATTTTCTAAGCCATTAAACCAATTTTTTTCACGCTCCATCTTTTCAGAACCTGTAGTTGTTTTTTTTTAAATAACATGTACATATGCATACACAGGCACACATAAACATACACACACACTATCTCAAGACAATTTTAAATACACCTATTTTTTTTTTTTTTGGTTTTTTCGAGACAGGGTTTCTCTGTGGCTTTGGAGGCTGTCCTGGAACTCTCTCTGTAGACCAGGCTGGCCTCGAACTCACAGAGATCCACCTGCCTCTGCCTCCCGAGTGCTGGGATTAAAGGCGTGCGCCACCAACGCCCGGCTTAAATACACCTATTTTATTGATAAGAACTAGCTGAGTTTTTTTTAATACTGTATATTCTACCTCATCATTTCATAAAGACGTAATAAAAATATAGGCACTTGCTGGAAATACAATAGAAAACAGCTGTTCCTTTTGCATTGTCCTGCCCTGGAGATAAAGGCTCTCAGGACAATTTCCACAGCTGGCACACTCCATGTGCTATGCTCATTACCACAAGTAAATAAAGTCAGTAAATTACTGGCAAAGCACGGGGCCATGTTGCGTCTAGGAAGTGTGCCTTTCATCAGAATCACTGCACACTGTATACTGCCTGGACGAAAAGCAAATAATGATGATCAATGGGGAATTAATATTTTAGTCAAAGAGGAATGCAGATGAATGCATACTATAAATTATTAACCAGTTTCTGAACTCTGTCTGCTTGGCACAGCATGAAGTAGGCTTCTAAAGAGACAGGATCCATATCCTCTACTTACACTGTGATGTTTACTCTGACCCATGAATAATATCCATAAAGATGCATTTCTCCAAGACATTGAAGAGGGAAATTTATACCTAAGTCTCTCATTCTATAATAGAATATAAGCTGAACATAAATATTTCCCTGGTTATATTTACATAGACATACATGTTTCATCTTCTATGTCTATAAATACTATTATGCTGCAGCAAGAAAGTGATTGACGGACGGGGAATGGCGACCCATCAGCTATCACTTGACATTGACTGTGACCGCCATTGACACCTTAACCTCTCTGGCCTTAGGGTTTTGGTTTTGGTTTTTTTTTCCCAACTGTAAAATAAACAGTCAGATCACTGATGACCTTGAAGAATTTGTTCAGCTATAAAATTCTGCACAAGAGCCTTTTCTACAGTCTGTTTGTTGGACTGTAGAAAAGACTAGGGAAGAATTACAGTCAGGGCTCTGGCATAAAAATGAAAAAATGAACATTAAAAATGTGCTCTGTTCTCTAAATGGCTGAAATACATACTGATACAAGAGCCACTGTATGCTTCTATAAGCATATGCACATACAGTCATGACTGTCTATAAATTGCTGCTCTCTTAGTGAAAAACATAATTACTAACCAGTAATTGAATACTAGAGCAAGGAGTCTTACATTTGCACAGTAGCCTAGCATACACGTTGCATAGGAAATTACTAAACAATTATCGTAGAAAACATGCTACTAGAAATATTATGCAATAACAGACTTTCAGTCCTCTGGTTTTGCAAGCCTGGTAAGCAAAAAGGAAGGCCTCAGCTTTCCTCCAGTGCTAGGGATTGAACTTGGGACCCAATGTATGTCCTCTACCTCTGAGGCTACACCCTCAGTCTGACCAGGCTGGTCTTGAACTCACAAAGATCCGCCTGCCTCTGCCTCCTGAGTGCTGGGATTAAAGGTGTGCGCCACCAACGCTCGGCTCTTCTCTGTAAGTTTTAAAAGGCCCTAAAATAAATGATTAGGTCCCTCTTTGCCAAACATCCACAAGAGGAAAGAAGAGAACATTATATCCTCATAATACAGGTCATTCTGCACACAGGGAGGTGTTTGTAAATCAAGGGTGACGACTCAGACCCAGGAGAGATGGGTACTACAGACAGGGAAAGGGCTGCGGTTGTTTGGGATTTGTTTTGAGGATGACGGAAGCTTCTGGCTCGGGTATGCACCTTTGGAAAGAACCTACCTAGAGCTGTCAGAGCTCTGAGAAGTCCTGTTTCCCCATTTTGTAGATGAAGGAGGCCAGACAGGGTATGTACCTGGCCCCGGGCTGAATATTTGTCAAGAGTCAGACTAGAAGCTCGTTCTCCACTGCTTCCCAGGCCAGCCTGTGTTCCCTCACTGCTTCCTGGTCCTGCACACGGGTCCAAAACAAACCTTCCCTCCCTGACTTTCCATGCAGCTCCTCCAGGGGTGAATAAGCGCTTCTGCTACCTTGCCCTCCCTGAGAAGGTCCTCCAAAGCTGACTCATGCTTTGCGTCAGTCCAATGATGCTTCCTGAGCCATAGTTCTTAATACCCCTTCCCAGCTGAGGCATCTAAGAGCCAAGCCGCTTACACCAAGTTCTCAAAGCTGCTGTCCTGCAAGGAACGGATAGGAGGCAAGATTCAAATTTCTCTGTGATTTACTTGTTTCAAGTGTTTGCCTGGGTGGCTGGGGAGATGACTTAGCACTTAAAAACACTTACTGCTTTTCCAAATTTGATCCCCAGCACTCATGTCAGATGACTCAAAACTGCCAGGGGATTTAACCAACCTCTTCTGGCCTCCAAGGGTACCCATACATAGATCACACTCACACACACACACACACACACACACACATACACACACACACACACACACACACAGCAGGGTGGTGGTGGCACACACCTTTAAGCCCATCACTTGGGAAGCAGAGGCTTGTGGATCTCTGTGAGTTCGAGGCCAGCCTGGTTTAGAGTGAGTTCCAAGACAAGCTCCAAAGCTACAGAGAAACCCTGTCTCAAAAATAAAAAATAATTAAAAAATAAAATAAGTAAATAAGCAAATGAAAGTGTTACTTAAGGGCAGGATTGTATCTAAATTTCTAAGAGTACAAAACCCAGAAAGTAATTACCGGTATTTTAAAATCTTAGTTCATACAAACAAATGGAGTAGGCATTCTAAATCATCTCTTTAACAAGAATGGGGGAAAAGGACCAAAAAGATTTTGATATGTTCAACATCACTCACCTAGATAGTTTCATGTTAAAGGGGACACTTTAGCATGCTGCTTAGTGCTTTTGTTTCTAGGCTGTGTTTGCCCTATTCTGAGTGCTACGCGGCGTATGTGACAGTCTGAAACTCGTAAATTAAGTCTTCCTAAGACACAAGATGGCAGGCTGCTACGCTGCCGAGACAGTTACTCCCCCTCCCCCAGATAATTTTTGTCCCATGTAAATTACATGGGTAAGACCTTACCATTTAATTTCAGAGACAAAGGCGGTTTGAGAAGTCAACCTAAACAATTTTGAGTTGATCAAGCTGGGTCACGAAGAAAGAGGAAGCCAATAAAAGGCAAAGTTGACTGGCCTGAAGGTGGCTTTTGAAACACCAGAGGTTGCACAGATGCACAGAAGTCTGAACCCGTCCTCTCCAATTCCTCCATCCCCAAGGGAACCAGCCACCTCCCCTCTTTTCACTTCCACATACGATACTCAGCCTTCAGGTGACTTTGTGGTGACTTAACTCGGTTCCTAATCACTGGACAATGTGGAGATGAAAACAGCCTGAGGCCGGCTGCTCTCCGCCCTAATTGCCACGCTGTCTATCTGACAAAGCCCCATCAGGCTCTGCAGGAAAGTAGCTGAAATCCTGGAAGTCGATTCCAAAGGACACATGACCCAATTATGCTACTGGAGTGAGAGGGAGAAAGGAGCTAGAAGGAGCGGGGTGGAGGCCCTCCTTGGAGTTTCTTGGAAGCCTAGACTACATGAAGAAAGACCTTGGAAGAGACAAGGAAAAATTAAAACATCTCCATCCTAAGCAGGGCTCAGAGACCCCTGGTGTCTCCTGGACTCTTCCCTTTCAAAATAAGTGAAAGAACTTTTTTTTTTCCTTGAAGACTTTCACAGACTCAAAAATCAGACCACACTGAAGAGCTGCCTGCAAAAATAATGGTTTTTCCTGACATTTTAAAGCAGCACAATTTAACAACTCAATGTTTCATTTGACATTTAAGAAGTCATCCGTCTCCAAGAAGCTGATTGGCAAGGCTTCTGGGTTCCAGGAATTAGCAAATACATCGTGCATGAGAACAGAGCTATGAGAGTCCAAAACACTCTTGAAAAAGCAAGTCCAAGACGGGGTGGAGAAGCCAGTTATTACCCACTCTGAGCTGGACCGCCAGCAAGCTCTCTGTAAGTAATAGCTTTGGAAAGAGTACACCATCATCTCAGGCAGCAGGAAGCCAGGTATTCAGGAGCAGGGTTGCCTGGGTTGGAGTTGTGGCTCTACCCTCTACTAGGTATAAGCTGTGTGACTTGTGCACACTACTTAATCTTATTAGGGGTTTCCTCCTTTCTACAGATTCAACAACACTTCTTATCTTGTTGGCGGGAGATAACTGAGTCACTGTCTGTAAAGTTCTTAGGACAGCCCGGCAGAATTAGGGTCACATAGTACTCCTTAGAAAAAATTTGAAAGGAAGTGCTGAGGAGAAGTGTGGTCAGTAAAGTGCTGGATGTGCAAGCATCGGGATGTGAGATCAATCCCCAGAACTAGAGAGAGAGAAAAAAAAAAAGCTGGGCATGCTGGCACACACTTGTAATCCCAGCGCTTGAGAGGGGGAGACAGGAGGTTCCTGAGGCTCACTGGCTGGCCATCCTAGCCAAATGGGTGAGTTCCGAGGGAAGGTGAAAGAGCCTATCTCCCAAAACAAGGTAAATGGTGTCTAAGGAATGAAACCCAATTGACCTGGCATGTATGCAAGGACACACACACACACACACACACACACACACACACACAGAGTTATTAACTTTTTTTTAGATCATCTATATCAATTTTCACTACCCATGACCCACATCAAAGCCTTATCAGTGTGTCATCCTCCTACTGACGCCTGTGATACAACTTCAATTAGACGCAGCAGGGTTCTGTGAGTTTGCTTCTGGGGAACACATCATGAGTCTTTCCTTTCGGACGTGACCCAGGAAGGACACAGAGCCTAGAACTTCTGTGGCCATCTCTCAAACCTAAGAGAAAACCCCGTCTGAGAATAAACCAAGTACAACAGACCCAGGACAGAAAGGCATGTTCTGCTGACATTTTTGTTGTTGTTTTTTAAGACAGGGTTTCTCTGTGTAGCCCTAGATCTCCTGGAACTGGCTTTGTAGACCAGGCTGGCCTCGAACTCACAGAGATACACCTGCCTCTGCATCCTGAGTGCTGGACTTAGTGTGCCCCACCACTACCAGGCTCTGGATCATGGAATGCCTGAAGCCAGGTAGCCTAGATTTATTTCTCAATTGCACTTCTCATTTTCCTTCAATTACTTTAGGCTAGGATGGTTTGCTGTTTGTTTATAAATCACTTACTGTGTTTCAATGCCCACAGAACATATTATGACAGAAATGTCCAAGATAGTATATATCAGGGAGTATAGAATTGTCATCCCAGTAGTACCAGCAATAGTAATAATAATTAATAATAATAATGATAAACGATAGCCTCATCCATATTGAAAAGGCCTAGTTTGCATTGTTATTTCTGTCAAGCCACTTTGCTTTTATTTGTCTTTACAAATTGGGATTCAGCCAGGTTGTGGTGCTATACACATTTAGTCCCAGCACTTGAGAGGCAGAGGCAGGTGGATCTCTATGAGTTCAAAGCCTGATCTACAGAGTGACTTCCATGGCAGCCAGAGCTATACAGTGAGAGCCTGTCTCAAAAAAAATCTTTATGGACTCTAAGATTTTATGAGGATGCATAAAACTATTATTTCCTTGGCTATCTTTAATCTGTCTCTGTCTCTTCCTAAGACAAGGTCTCATGTAGCCAAATCTGGCCTCAAATTTATTTTGTAGCAGAGGATGACTTTGAACTCCTGGTTCTCCTGTCCACACTTCCTGAGTTCTGGGAAGACAGACAAGCATTATTGCAGTAAGGTGCATTGCAGGGATCAAACCTGGGATTGCATGCATGCTAGGCAGGGATCAAACCCAGGGCTGCATGCATGCTAGGCAGGGATCAAACCCAGGGCTGCATCCATGCTAGGCAGGAATCGAATCCAGAGCTGCATGCATGCTAGGCAGGAATCGAACCCAGGGCTGCATGCATGCTAGGCAGGAATCGAACCCAGGACTGCATGAATGCTGGGCAAGCACTCTACCAACCGAGCTACATCCCCAGCTGCAGGATTTTTTTCTTTTACACTCACCTTCTTAGCTATCGGGCTAAGAAAAGTAATCTAGAAGGTTGTTTTGCTTGCTTGCTTGTCTGGTTTACTTACTGGGCATTTTGGGGGAGGAGGAATGGAAGAGCACAGATCTAGTGCTGATTTCTCACCCTTCAAACAGCTCTGCCTCACTTCAAACATCACAGCTACAGCTGTGTACACCTTTTTTAGCGCAGGGAAGACAGATCAGGTTTAAAGGGACTGCACAGGCCTTGCTAGTCCAGAGGTGAGCAAGGGTCATGGCCATTCTCTGCAGTTGGCACACTCCAGGCAGTATCTCTGTTCCTCTTCACCTTTGTCCAACACGCCCTGTGCTGCTCCGCAGTAATGGCTATTTCATGTAAGCATCTGTGGAGAACAGGGAGGAAAGGACACAAGGCTGCACTACTCACAGAAAAGATGCTTAAAAAGGAAAGACTGGGTGGAAATCCTTTGGTTACTCAGAACATGACTGATGGGCAGAGGATGAGAGGACTGCCTCTGATCGGGCTGAGTGTCTCATCAATCAAAAACTAAACACCATGCACAAAGATCTTCAAATCGTCCTATCTGACTTCAGTCATGATTCTGATGACTTGGTTTCCTCATTTCCCAGGAACAGTCATTCCCTAGGGTGTGAGAATGGGTAGCAGAAATGAAGTCAGTGGGCAGTCAGCACACAGAGGAGGAAATTGAAAGTGAACCTCCACAGTCCTCAGAGACAGACGCTGAGTGAGTGTGGTGGAACTTGTTTGTACTCCCAGCAATCGGGAGGCAGAGGCCTACAGATCTCTGAGTCTGAGGTCAGCCTACTGCAAACGTGGGCATGGACTGCTTTATTGATGCTTAGTTTGTGTGCTTGCAGGTGTGTGTGTGTGTGTGTGTGTGTGTGTGTGTGTGTGTGTGTGTGTGTGTGTAGGTCAGAGGACAACATCTGCTGTCCTTCCTAGGACACCATTCACCTTGCTTTTTTGAGACAGGATCTCTCACTAGTCCAGAACTCAAGTAAGCTAAGCGGGTTGGCCACCAAGTCCCAGGGACCGGCTTCTTTCCACTTCCTGGGACAGCTGTTCCAAGTATGTATCACCAGGCCTGGCTCTTTTCAGTTTTGTTTTTGTTTTTTAACTTGGATCCTGAGGTTGGTTAGTCAGAACTTTTTTGTTATTGTTTTGTTTTGTTTTTTTTCTGAGACAGGATTTCTCTGTGTAGCCCTAGATCTCCTGGAACTCTCTTTGCAGACCGGGCTGGCCTTAAACTCACAGAGAACCATCTGCTTTTGCCTCCAAATGCTGGGATTAAAGGTGTGCGCTGCCACCACCCAGCTGGGGCCTGGGGTTAGACCCACGTCCTTGTGCTTGTGAGACCAGCACTTAGCAAACTGAGCCACTTCGCTTTTATGTACTTATTTACTTTTGGTTTTTTGAGGAAGGGTTCCTTTGTGACTTTAGGGCTGTCCTGGAACTAGCTCTTATAGATCAGGTTGGTCTGGAACTCACAGAGATCCGCCAGTCTCTGCTTCCCGAATGCTGGGATTAAAGGCATGCGCCACCACCACCCGACCACTTTTATTTTTATAAAGCAAACTCATAGGGCTTTCTATTTGCTTATTAAATTAAAAACTACTCTAAGGTAATTATTTTACAAAAATCACCTCACTGGATTCTCATAAGGACTCTGAAATATAAAGGGTTAAATAAGTGTCCCAAGGCCACATAGTCCCCCACTGGTCCCATCAGGGATCAGGATTGAATGCCGCAGTCTCAAAGACCCCACACATGCTGCTCATCCTGCATCCTGTTATGATTCACTATGTATGATGAGTGCCACCAAAAGGAAATAGACAGCCTGAATATTCTTTCCAATAAAGTGAGAAACTCAACATAAAAGATGCTACTCTGAACTGCTGCTATTTGATAGTATTGTTACTAGTAGCACGCATCCTAATATTATTGGTGGTTAAAAAGGATTAAGTCTAGGCTGAAGGTGTGTGGCACAGTTGATAGAAAGCTTGCCTAAGCTGGAAAGTGGTGGCACACACCTTGAATCCCAGCGCTTGGGAGGCAGAGGCAGGTGGATCTCTGAGTTCAAGGCCAGCCTCATCTATAGAGCAAGTTCCACGACAGCCAGGTCTACATAAAGAAACTGTCTCAAAAAAAGGAGGGAGAGAGAGAGAGAGAACAGAACAAAGCTTGCCTAACTGGTACAAAGCCCTGGGTTGGACCCCTAGCACTGCATAAAATTCAGTATGGGAGTGTGTATATCTGTAATCCCAACACTCAGGAGTCAGAGGCAGGAGCATCAGAATTTCAAGATCATACTTGGCTACACAGTGAGTCCCAAGATAGCCTTCTACACACAAGATCCTGCCTCTAAATTAAAATAAATAAAATAAAATCTTGGTAAGTATAGGGGGCACACACCTGAAATTCCAGCTACTCTGAATGATTTCAGGTTCAAGACCAGCTTGAGCTACTTAGGAAGTCTGTCTGAAAAAACCAATGAAAATAGATAGAAAGCCTGATTCTCCTCCACACCAGATAAGGAAAACAGCAATGGTATGCCTTGGATCCCGTTTATTCTAAGATGCAAACTGTATCTCGAATCTCTATTGAAATGAGCTTATCCCAGAAAGCCACTAACAGTGGAATAAAACCCCACAACCAAGTCTCACAAAAAGTTGCAACAAGTTTGGAACTCACTCTGCTTCTGGTCATAGCCTGATGACCACCATCATAAGTATTTTTCTAGATAATGATGAAACTCACCATATTTGGTAATACAAATACTTAGATTTGGAGTGTGAGAATGGAGAAAATTATTTTCAAAAAAAAAAAAAAGGAAAAAGTTTGGCTCTAGCCATCTATTTATGGAACAAATAACTTCTTGGAATTCTCTGGAACAATTTCATTGACATCATATTTCCACCATCCCTTGACTTCTGTATTAAATTTCAGTCTGAAACCACTAATTGTAGGGTTGGCTTTATTCAAAGTAGGAATAGCTCCTGTGTTGTGGGGGGGGGAGAGAAAGAGAGAAAGAGGGAGGAAGGAGGAAGAAGAGGAGAAAGAAGAACCAAGGAGAAAGAAACAGACAGGAGGAGGGTTACATTGTGTGTGGCCAAAGCAAGAACCCTCTGCTTCTTTAAAGGGAATATCAACAGTATGCCTGCCAAGACAGCAGCCAAAGGAAGCAGCCAGTACTGACTATAGACTCAAGCCAGAGAGAGCAGAGCCAAAGACAATCTGGCTGAAGGAGGAGAGACGACAAGATGATGAGGCTGGTGAGTATCCAACACCAAGAACATTTAACCTTTTGTTATCACCACATGTGGTTTTCCTGTAGACTCTTTTTTTTTAACTTTTATTTACTTATTTTGAGGCAGGGTTCCAAGTAGCTCAGATTGGTCTTGGATTTAAGACTGCCATGTGGGTGCTGGGAATTGAACCCGGGTCCTCTGGAGGAGCAGCCAGTGCACTTTACCACTGAGCCATTTCTCCAGCCCTGGATTGAGTAGTTTAAATTTATAGTGGACACTACTCTCAGTCTGTATTTTCTACATTGACTCTTTTTCAATTTGTATTCATTTATTTAATGAGTATAGGCATCTGCCTGCATGTATTCTTTATGTGCCACATACATGTCTGGTGCCGGAGGAAGCCAGAACATGACATTGGATTCCCTGGAACCGGAATACAAACAATATAAGCCATCATGTGGGTGCTGGTGATCGAACCTGGACCCTCTGAAAGAACAATCAGGACTCTTAACTCTTGAGATCTCTCTCTAGCACCCGTGTTGACTTTGTTCTGATTTTCGAGACAGGATTTCTCCATGTAGCCCTGGCTCACTCTGTAGACCTTGTGCATACAAGAGGCCTTGAACTCCATGAGCATACAGGAGGCTACAGAGGCCAGAAGAGGGCATCAGATACCCTGGAACTGGGGTTAGAGGCAGTTGTGAGCTGCTGTTATGTACTGGAAACTGAATCCAGGTCTTATGCAAGAACAATAAGCTCTGTAACCATTGAGCTATTTCTTTGACCCCTGCACTTTGAAGTTTTAACCTCAAGTGCAGAGGACCTAATTAATTATATCCTTGACTTCACATACCCTGAGACCATTAGCTTCTTCTATCCTCCGCCCTGTCCTTTTTGCCTAAGGCTCCACATCGAAGGCCAAGCCCAACTGATGACTTGGATAGACATGATTTTGAGGTCTACTTACTTCTGTGAAATACAGTATGTGCATATGTGTGTGTGTGTGTGTGCATACATAGCGTTTTTCTGTAAAACTGCATTCCCCCCTCTAATAGACTGTAAATGTCTACCCCCCACTACAGTGTGTTCATGTAGTTTTATGCTTTTAATAGTTGGATTACATCACTTACTCTTTCTTCTGGCCAGTCCCTTAGATTGCAACACCATGACCTTCCTCAGCTATCACTATAAAATGATGCTGGAATAAACATCCCCACTGTAAACTGAAGTTTCCACACAGAGCCACACCTTTGTTAACGATTCTCCAAGGTTGACTGGCCGATTAGAATTTATGTCTGTGGACAGTTGGAATGTTGCAGAACCGGAAACAAATCACCTTGATCTTATCTTTAGTCTCCTTAACAATCACTTGTCACCTACTTCTATGTCTAACCTAACATCTTCCTGACTATTAGACAAATTATTTTGGAATGTGATAACAAACTCTTTAACTTCCACACCCAAAAGCTAACGATGCCATCAGGCAATATCTGAAATTGCCGACAGAGAGCTCCCTATGGTGGTTCAACTACCTGTCAACTTGACAGCCTAGAATCACATGACAAGGGAGTCTTCATTAGGAATTATCTAGATCTGATTGGCCTTTTGACATGTTTGTGTGTGGTTGTCTTGATTATTAATTGCTATAGAAGGCCCAGCCCATTGTGGGTGGCATCATTCCCTAGGCAAGGAATTCCAAATAGTGTAAGAGAACCATCAAGAAAGCAATCAAATCATGCGTGTATCCATCTTATCTCTGCTTTCGACTGTGGATATGATGCCATGTTCCTGACTTGCCTTCCTTGCAATAATGGACCCAGCTAAATAAATCCAAATGAACCCCTTTCCTCTCCTGTGTCGCTGTTGGGGAGAATTTTCATCAGAGCAACAGAAATGTAACTTGGGACACCCACCCACCTATGTCCTCACCAATGTACTTGAAAAGTAATTTGATTGCATACTTTCTTTTGTTCTATAACTATAACAACTTCAGGGAACAATTTTCATCTTGGAACATGGTCTTTGGGATAGTCTGAATCCACATTCTTGGACCATGATACAGATCATGCTCCAGAATAAAATATTGCTATGTTTTGTGTATATCCAATATCTGTAAAAATATCTAACTAGTTATATATAGGTATAGATATATAATATTGAAAGACCCCTGCCCAGGACCCCCTAGGAAAAGAAAAGTAAGGCCAGGCCGTTGCCTAATGAAAAAACCCAGACCAGGTGCCTCGCCCAGCTGGCAGGATGTCAAACAGGATCTGTGGTCACCAGAGCAGTCAAGGGACCCGGATAATAATTGCTGAAGAGTGCCTGGGTCTTTCATGAGGTAATACCAGGAAACTTAGTCTGTGGGAACTACCCCTGCCCCCAAGATGAGCCAATAAAATGCCTGTTGCTATGCTGATACTTATGTAACCATTAAAACTCTATAAATATTGTATTCCCTGCAAGCCCGGTATGCTCTGCACCCGAGTTGCAGTAGCATCCGCAGGCGCCTGTGTACTCAATAAATCACCTCTTGCATTTGCATCCAGTGGTCTGGCCCCAGTTCTTGGGCAGAGGGTTCGGTTCAGTGCCTGGCACTTTGATGCCAAGGTCTTTCAATATGTTAGTATATGGCCATAGTAGTTATTTATAGCTATGCTATATATGCTCCAGTGAGGTCCGAGAACAATTTGCAGCCTCCTTTCACCATGTGGTATCAGGGTTGTGCTGAGGTCATCAGGCACATCGGAGACTGCTTTGACCTGTGGCTTCACTGGGTTTCATTAGGGTTACTCACAGGAACATGATGGAAGTTGTTTACAGGAGCATGAATGACTTGCCAGTGGCTACACCACTGACGAAAATGTCTGTCCCTCCTCTAGCAACCATTAACTGCCTGTATCATCTTCCTGGTGAAATGTTGATGGGCAAACCCAATCTTGTGCAGGTACTCACAGTTACTGAGCAACAGCTGTACTTTTCCTTTGAGACGGGATATCCTGTAGCCCAGGATGGCCTCAGAATCTTCCTGTTCCGTTTCCTGAATCCAGGGATTAAAGGTGTACACTACCGTGTACTGTTAATGGTGTGCTAGGACTAGAACCCAAGGCTTTGTGGTCACTAAGCAAACACTCTACCAACTGAGCCACATCCTGCTCATCAGACAGTCACTCTAAGTGGAGACTGAAGTGGCCAATTCAGGTAAAATCCGATATGCACTGTTCCAGAAATCAAATTTCTAAACGTGTTATTACGTTCTACTAGATGATTTTTTTAAGGGTAAAAATTGCACCCGAGAGGAAATTGACACCGGTGCACGTAGACACACAGAGCAAGCTGTAGCTGTGAGATGACTTTAAAACCAGAATGCTGGAAAATAACCCTCACCCACTTCCACCCGGCTGTGTGCCTTCTTACTTTTGCCAGGAAGGCTCTCAAAAGGACAGGGCTGGTATCTTTAGGGAGATGTTCCAGGATTCTCAGCTCTATCACTGGGGGATGGCCCTGTGACTGTTTTGTTTTTGTTTTTGTTTTGTTTGTTTATTTGTCTGTGTTTTGGTTTTTCAAGACAGGGTTTCTCTGTATATCAGTCCTGGCTGTCCTGGAACTCACTTTGTGCTGGTATTAAAGGCGTTACCACCATTGCCCAGTTTGTTTGTTTGTTTGTTTGGTTTGGTTTGTATCTTCTGTCTTAGGTCTTGAAGATTTAGTTTTTGGAAACTTTGGTTGGAGGTAAAGGTGATCAAATGCAAATATCTGGTCCCATTAGATAGTATACTTGATTCTGAAGAGTCATGCATTTCCTAATCAAAAACCAAGGACCACTTTGGCATGTAACAGAAAATAGGTATCATTTTATCATTACATGTGATAAAAGTGATTTCAGTCTTTAATTGTGACACAAATTACAAGTACAGAGGCCTTTATTTTCTGTGCTACCTGGATTCATAATTCACTGATGACTCCTAGAACTCTTGAGACAGCATGCATGACATCTGCAGACACAGATTCAACATAAAGCTTAGGTTAAGTTTTGTGGTCAGCGCAAGTTATGGAATGTTCTAGGTCAGATTAAAGCAAGCTTGGAAACATTATTGAATATACTTTTGGTAAATTGCCCAAAGGAATCTCAGAACACATGAACAGAAATCTCTGAACTTCAATCACTTGCTGCCTTTCTTTCTCTGTTCTAGATAAATAAGCCATTTTCTATTTGATATTAATCCAGACCTGTAGGCAAAGGACAGAGATGGAGACAGTCAGATCCCTAGGCTTGCTAGACAGCTAGTCTAGACAAGGTTCAAAAAGTAAGGTGGAGAGCGACAGGGGAAGACATTCAACATAGACACACATGGGTGCAAGCATACACACATACCACAAACATAAGCACAACGACAAGTAGCTCTGTAAGAGCCTTTCTAACTTTGAAAATCATTCCATCAAATCTATTTTGCTGAAGAGGGGCGGGAATGTAGTTCACTTGTCTAATATGCACAAAGAAAGTCCTTGGTTCTATCCCCAGCAATACATAGTAGCACACACCTGTCATCTCAACACTCTGGAAGACAGGAAGATCAGGAGTTCAAGGTCAACCTTTGCTATACAGCAAAGTTGAGGTCAGCCTGAGTTACATGATACCCTGATGAAATAAGAAAGGAAGAGAGAGGAGCTGAAAAGATGGCTCAGTGGTTAAGAGTGCTCAGTGCTCTTCCAGAGGACATGGGTTCAATTCCCAGCACCCACATGGCAGCTCACAACCATCTGTAACTCCAGTTCCAGGGGATCTGACACTCTCTCACAGAAATACATGTAGACAAAACACCAAAGTGTTGGGGAAGTCTTTTGTCAATAAAGCACTGTTGAGCCAATAGGAATCTAGATAGGTGGGACTAGGAGTCCAGGAGGATTCTGGGAAGGAGAAACATAGGAGAGTCAACATGTAACGCCATGGGGTAGGAAGCCCGGAACTATTCTCCGGTAAGAAACATACTTAGATTAACAATTATGCGGTAATTACTTAAGTCAGAGCTAGCCAGTAAGAAACAAGCAAGGCCAACAGCTTCATAATTAATATAGCCTCCTGTGTGTTTATTTGGGACTGGTGCGGCTCTAGAACCAGGCTGGCGGGAAGGCTTTCTCACAAGGAAAAGCTTCTCTTTACACCAAAGCACATAATTTTTTTGTTTGTTTGCTTGTTTTCTCGAGACAGCATTTTCCTGTAGTTTAAAAGCCTGTCCTGGAACTTGCTCAGTAGACCAGGCTGGCCTTGAACTCACAGAGATCTGCCTGCCTCTCCCTCCCCAGTGCTGGGATTAAGGCATGTGCCACCCCCACCTGGCTATAAAATAAAAATTTCAAAAGAAGGAAAGGGAGTGAGAGAGGAAAGGAAGGAGAGAGACAGCTCATTACACAAAGAAAACAAAGTTTTCAGAAATGTGAGTAAATAACATTCTTACTAAGAGGCGTGCTAGTATAATGCCACTACAGGCCTAAACTCCTTCGTAAGGATTCTGGTTAAATGCTGTTCAGGTTTAGACATGCTGATTGTCACCATATCAGTCCCCAGAATCATCCATTCTGAAAGAGGAAGAGGCAGGAGGAGGCCAACTGAAATGTCTGTTCTAGAAAGGCTGAACAAACAAGGCATTTCGGAGAAGTCGGTGACAGCTGCTTTTCTCCTGAGCTTAGACATTTGACAAAATTAGAGGATGTTTTAATGGGTGGAAAATCACAGTCCAGTTTAGTCTTCAAACATAAAGACAAATCAAAGACTGGACACATTCTTCTTGGGTGATGAATTCTACAACCTGCCTTGGTCTATGGGGCAGGGGAGTTGGGTGTTGGAAGTACAGTGAAATTGGAAGGAGGAGGTCAGGATTTCCTGAATTCACAGGAACACTAGGAAGCCATTCAAATGCATATGCTTTATTGTGGCCTGTAGCATGAGTTCTAACCATTCTTAATAATAAAAACCTGGAGTCAGATATGGGGGGAGGGGCGCTGAAAGATCAGAGAAGCAGAGCAGCCAGCCATTAGCTCCACCTCAGACCCAAGGGGCAATCCTGTCCTCAGGCACGAGGAGGCTGCCTCCTGACTGCTTCTTCAGACTGCTTCAGACTAACTGCTGCTCAGACTGCACTGAGCTCCTGTCTCCTGCCTTATAGTCTCTGCTCAGCCATATCCCTTTCTGTCTCCACCTCCTTAGTGCTGGGATTAAAGGCTTGTGATGCCAAGTGCTAGGATCACCTTTGGATGAGCTCTTGTTTCTCCTTTAGACTAGACCAATGTCGTGTAGCCCAGGGTGGCCTTGCGCTACCAAAGATTTGGCTGTGTCTCCCAAGTGCTAGGATTAAAGGCATGTGCCACCACTGCCTGGCCTCTATTGTTAACTAGTGTGATGAGCTCTGCACTCTGATCCTCAGGCAAGCTTTATTTGTTATAGCATAAACAAAATCTCACCACAGCAGTCAAGAGGCAGACCCTCAGTCCCATAGCCAGGTGGGACAGAGCCAGGGCTAGCCCTGTGACCACCAACCTAGCACAAGTTCTTCTGTCCAACGCTGGGCTTGTGAGCCACCTACATTCTAACCTGCTTCAGGGCACAGTTGGGAGCTTATGTCACAAGCTACGCTTAATTTTTGCTTCAACCCGAAGACTGATTTGGTAATAAAGTTTTATCGACTGAAACTGTGAGTGTTGATGCTAAGGGGCTCACTCTCCTCCTCAACAGCAGGAGCAGGAAAACCACTCTGTCCTAAAGCAGGTCACAGTGACTTTATTTCAGGGGTGTCTCTCTTGCACCCAAAGGTAAGGAATGGCCTTATCTCTCACGATTCAGACACTAACA